TCACCAGCAAGGGCCTGAACTGGGACAGACACACTGCCTCCCTCTACCACCTACCAGCTTTCAGATGCTTCATGCTAGTTGTGTTGATGGTGATTTAATGTGTCCTTCCACACTAAAACCTAGAGCAGGATATTAATTCATTTTTTCTGGTTCACTAAAACCAGTTGCCTCAGCCCTGGTGTCCCACGAAAGATAGGACAGGGACCCCATGTCTAGGAAGTCACAATCGGACAAGAAAACAGCCACACACAAGCTTTTAGTAGTGCAAGGAAAGAGACGCCGAATACCATGTCCTGAGCACTGTGGGCCCTGGGGGAGGGCCCAGCCAGCTCCACCTGGGGAACAGCAGGGAGGGGCATGGGCACAGGGTCCCCCAGGAGCAGTGGAGTCTCCAAGTGGAGAAGGCCAGCCAAGGGAGAGTTGAGACCATATTTGGCAGCGTGCAAGTGGCCAGGCTTTGAGCAGGATGCCCAGTGAGGAGCACAGATGGTGTTTAAAGTCAGCTCTGAGTCACTCTTTGAAATTACAGAAATTCAGGGAGAAGGATTTGGAAGCCCTCCAGCCAGCTCTGTGACCTTCTAGTCTCTCAATAACCATTGGGTCTAGCTCATAAATGGGAGCTCTCTATAAAATTGGAGGATATAGGAAAAGTGGCAGAATGATTTCAAGAGAAGAAAAGGGTTCTCGTGCCTTAGTCTGCGAACCACTGGGTTTACCATCACTCTCCTGACTGGCTTTTTACTGGTGAGTTGCCTGCCTGTCCAGCTTTGACCAAGGTCCCAGTGCAGTGGCTTCTCAAGTCTTGCCCCATCTCCACAAATGACTGGATAAAGGTTACATAAAACCCCCAAAGCAGGGCCAGAAGGTACTTGGCTTCTCAGTGTGAATGTGCTTAAGATGGAAACTGTATTTTCTGTCGAATGATTTTTTTCGTTGCCTTGGCAACTCCTTGGGTTTTTTTTTTTTATGCTTTTGATTTCTCTCAACAACATGAGCTGCTTCCTTTGATTTAGCTCAGACGTGTGCACAGATTTCTATCTTATTCAGAGTCTCAAGCGTGTTTATGAGGTATAGATTTTTTTTTATTTTCCACAGTCTTCACAGGGTTGAACAGTGATAAATAATTTCACATAACTGTTAGCCTGCCTGATTAAACACAAAAGGCAAGTCATAGTGATTTTTTTTGTTTGATGTCAAATACCGTAAAAATGATTCAAATTCATTTTTATAAGATATCGCTAAATATTTTAATATTAGGCTTTTAATAAAGTCTCCAACAAGGTCTATGTGGAAAATTGTTTCCATACATTATAAATGCACATGGTTCCTTCTGTCTCCTCTTTGCTCATGGGCTCCGGCCCCATTGGCTTCCTGGTTGGTTCTTATCCTTGTTAAACCTGTTTCCATCTCAGGGATCTTCTGTTTCCTCTGTCTGGAACTTAGCTGCTCAGATACTGGCATTGCTTCCTTCCTTGTTGCATTCATGGCTCTTGTTAAATGCCACCTCTTCCAAGAGGACTTTCTGGACCTTCCTGTCTAAAACAGGATCTTCAGAGCACCCAGGTGGCTCAGTCGGTTGAGTGTCCAACTCCTGGTTTTGGCTCGGGTCATGATCCCATGGTTCATGGGTTTGGCCCCACGTCAAGCTCTGTGCTGATGGTGCAGAGACTGCTTAGGATTCTCTCTCTCTCCCTTTCTCTGTGCCCCTCCCCTGCTCATGCTCGCTCTCAAAATAAATAAAACTTTAAAAAGTTAAAAAACAAAACAAAACAGTGTCTTCATTCATTGTTCTGGCCAGTTTGGAGATGAGGGGATCCATCTCTGGAAAACCTGAATGAATTATCAGTCATCCTATACAAAGCCCACCAACCTATAAGCTGGACATTAGTTTTTTCATGCCACACCCTTAAATTATGAACACATAGCCAAAAATCACCAGATATTTGCAGGAATCCTCCATCACAACACATAGAGACTCAGACTAATAAGAAATGAAGAACTTGGAAGAAACAGAGACAATGATGAAACAGAAGAAATACATACACCCACACACGTACACATGCACAAAACAGAAAATGGGGCAGAGGAAATCATCATGGAAATAATACAAGAAATTCAGGAGAGTGAGAGTGACAGAGGGGACACCTAAGCCAATAGCTGGGGGGCAGGCCTGGAGAGCAACCTAGTCAATGGCAGCAGAAAGGTGGAGGGCTCTCAGGGGGAGGTGACCAGGAGTGCTGGGGAATCAAGAGGCTGTCCTGCCAGTTTGACACAGGAAAAATGATACCAAGAGGCTCTTTGAGGGTGTGGGTAGAGTTAGAGATGGTTACAAAGCCAAACAAGCAAAGGCAGAAAAAAAGAAATAACTATTAACTACAAAAACAATAATATTGTACAATAAAGGAAACATTCTCTTACTACATTTAGCAGTGATCAACTTTATATAGTTATAATAACATAAACAATGACTGTGGCTTTAATAAAAAAATCGACATAACTGTATTTAGAGAATGGGGGAAGGTAAGCCTCTGTGTACGTGTGCGTGTATGAGTGTGCACCTGAGGCCTGAGGATATGAACATAGAATGTGGATATGAACATAGGACGTCTAAAACCGATAAACTACATTATTGTTATATTAATTAGATACACAGAATTTTTAAAACGAGAGGGAATAGCAAGTTGAGACGTAGACTGAGGAATGGGAAGGAGGCTGGGGGAGACAGAGCACTATTGTTCATTGTAGACTTTTAGCCTCATCTGACTTTTGAAAGCTATGAGCATATATTACTTTGATAACCAAAAATTAGTTAGGAATTAAAATATAAGCTTCAAGCAGCCCTCTGGCTGTGCACATGTCTCTGATAGAGTTTGATGTGTATTTGATTAATATGAAATTTAGTCCAGCATGTGGCTGATGTCCTTGGCTGGTAGGCCTATTTGTTTAACCAAGTCCATTTTCACTTGCACACAGAGTAATTAACTCAGACTCACTTTGTTGGAAGTCATGCTGAAGACATTTATCATTTCTTTCTACACCATGGAGGTAGATTGGACTATGGCTCGGGGTTGTTGCGGCTGTATGCTCATTAAAACTGGAGTAGATGCACGTGGCACTAAATTGAACTTTTTAATTACTGTAGATTTAATGACATCCCTCTGCCATGCACTTAATCTTCAGCAAATATTTACCCTTCCCAAACTGGCAGATTTGCAATTTATAGCTTGTCATGTCAAATGAAGCATTTTCTCTTTCCCCTGCTCCTAGAAGGATCTCTGTTCAAAATTATAATCATTTAAAAATAGCTGACACATTGTCTTTGTGGGGAGCTTTCAACATTTCCATCTTATTTGGAACTGACCCTTCTCACTCCTCTCAATCTTTGTATTTATTTATGTATTTATTTTGGATACAGTTTAATGTTTTTATTCTGTTATCTGGGTCATTTGCATAGAGCAATGGGTGAGTAGGGGGAGGGAGGGATGGATGGATGGAGAGATAGATGAAAGATGATAGATAGGTAGGTAGATAGATAGATAAATAGGTAGATAGACTGAGAGGCCAAACTGTACTAAGTGTGTGTGGAAATACAGTTTCAGATAACAGAGAATACATCACAAGCTTTAGTCTTAAGATTTCCACTTCATAAGAGCTATGTAGTAGCTTTCCAAGAAGAGGCTAAATAACCATCATTCTATTACATCAACATAGTTTCCCAGACTTTATGATGAAAGTGGAATTAACAAGATGTTCCATTAGAAAGTCCTGAAATAACTTCAGGATACTTGTAGATATTCTTTTAATTTGTACCATGGAACTAATGTGAGGAGCTGCAGCTGGAAGCCCGGTTATTGAAGCCTGGGTATGGATGTCGTAGGTCACTATTTGGTCATAGAAACTTTTCGACAACCCTCCCTTGTCAATACTTGAGAACACTTCCCAAACCAAAAATAAAATGGTCAAGTAAATTAATATATTTTTGAATTTTGAAGATGAGAAACTATGAGACCTAAAATTCTAGAGGCGATGTCAGGATCAATGAGTATATCGATCGAAAGTTGCTCGTTATGACATAAGCACGAAAATTTGTACGTCAAGACTGGAGGCCCCACAGCCATGAGCTTGCCTGTGCACCACATCATTATCCTCTTTTGTGCCTTCTTAGTGTTTGGGGCCATACTTCCTAAGTTTGAATCCTGACCTTGCTCCTTACTAGCTCTGTGTCTTTGACCAAGTTTCTTAATCTTCATGCCTCAGTGTCATTCTTCATGAGTGTATCAGCTCACTCAATGCCTATTCCAGCCTCCTCTTCTTATAGAGTATGGAAGTTCCCCCTTTCAGAATCTCTTATAGCTAGTATTCTGGATGTGAGTTATATCTGCTAATCAAATGCATTCCCATAAACGTGGATTCAGACCTAGATTGTGTAGGAAGAGGGATGGGGCATGGACATTCATTTTTAGCTGGGGTGGATAATGGCAGAGGCAGCATGGTCTGGAACTAGCAACTTTAGTGATGGCTTCCTGATTGGGAAGCTTACAGGTTGTAGCAGAAACTAACTTGGAGCAGCATCTGTAGCAGCTCTCTAATTGTTTAGCTTTCAAATAATGATAGAGCCAGCAGCCTCTTTGGCTGATTTGAGTAGTAATTTGTAAAAGCTCAGCCTAGAGTCCGTTTGTACAGCCCTTCCAACAGCAATATATACTATGGTATACTTTTTTTTTCATTTTTAAAAAATGTTTATTTATTATTGAGAGACAGAGAGACACAGCATTAGCAGGGGAGGGGTAGAGAGAGGGGGAGACACAGAATCCGAAGCAGGCTCCAGGCTCTGAGCTGTCAGCATAGAGCCCGACACGGGGCTCAAACTGCAAGATCATGACCTAAACCGAAGTCGGTCGCTTAACCAACTGAGCCACCCAGGCGACCCTGGTATACTTCTTAAGTAGCCAAAGTGATTTACATCGGCTGCACCTGAAGAGTAAGAACAGTCCACTTACCTTATCGAGTTGTTGAGTTAATAAGAAAGCATTTACAGTGTTTAGAACATCTGGCATGCTTTTTCTTTTTTAAACGTGCCTAGGACTTTTTCTGGCCCTAGTCAATGGTACACCTACAACCATAATAACCAGATATTTATTAGCTTGTTGGTTTGTTCATTCATTCATTTATTCATTCATTTATTTATTTATTCATACATTCATTGAAACAAATATTTGCTGAAAATCTATTCTAATCAAGAGTTGCCCAGCTGCCCTAGGATAGTGGTTATCAACCTAACCGAACATTAGAACCTTCTGGGAATCTTTTTTTTTTTTTTTTTTTTAATTTATTTTTTGAGAGCAAGAGTCAGAGTGTGAGTGGGGGAGGGGCAGAGAGAGAGGGAGACACAGAATCTGAAGCAGGCTCCAGGCTCTGAACTGTCAGCACAGAGCCTGGCGCGGGGCTTGAACCCACAGACAGCGAGATCATGACCTGAGCCGAAGTCGGACACTTAACTGACTGAGCCACCCAGATGCCCCTAATGTTTATTTATTTTTGAGAGAGAAAGAGCACGCGAAGTGGGGAGGGGCAGAGAGAGAGGGAGAGCGAATCCCAAGCAGGCTCCGCGCTGTCAGCACAGAACCCAACTTGGGGCTTGAAACCAAGAACCATGAGATCGTGACTTGAGCTGGAATCAAGAGTTGGATGCTTAACCGATTGAGCCTGCCAGGTGGCTCTATCTGAGAATCTTTTTTAAAAAACTTAATTTCTGTGCCACCTCTGGAACTTACTGAAGACAGGGAGTGTGTGTGTGTAGATATTTTCTTAATTGAGATACTATTTTCATAGAGTAAAGTACACAAATTTTATGTTATAACTTGGTGGATTTTTCCATATGTATACACCCAATTAACCACTACCCAGGTCAAGATACAGAGAAACAGAAGTGTTCATGAAAGATTTATTGTGTGTATGGATTTGGGGGAGCTTTTTTTAGAAGCTGAAGTTTCAAATGCCTTTGAGATTTTGCCACTCAGAGGTCAAAAAAAATTTAGTCCTCTGGAATAATCAGTATAATCAGGTTACCTTTCCCTTTTATTTTTCATAGTCCTCTACAAGTTTGTTGTCCTTTCTAGATTTATGGAAGAAAACTATTTCGTTTATACATGAAATGAAATTAATTTGAGGACTTTAAATAAGAGAAAATTGCAAAATATCAATAAGGCAGTAAATATTATCAGTGGTAACTTTGTGATTCAAAACCTCTGACTCTGTTTATCTTCTTATAAGTGATTGGCACAGTTTTTTGACGAAAAGAAAGCTTAACTGCCTTCTTAAAACTAACCTATACAGCTTCTTTCATGTGATCTCTTCCAAGAGAGTGAATATCATGAAAGTAAAAATAATTATTTTCCTTTCTTTTCAAAAGAGTGTTTGGAGCCAATGACTGCATAATTAGAATTGCAAGGCTGAGGCCACTAGAGCAGCAGGCATGAGCTGAGTTAGGAAGATAAAGTTAGTAATTATTTGAAAAGCAAATGGAAATAGTTGATTACAGAGAGAGAAAATGTCATCAGCAAAACATTGAGAGCATCTGCCTTTTTTTATAAAACCCACTAGAACAACTTTGATGTTGAACTGTTTTGCATAATTGGCTCATTACAGAATGAAACTTTCAGAAACAAAATATAAGGTGGACATGAATTATACTTTAAGGTGATCACGTGTGATTTGGGATCAAGGTCTAGCATTGGGACCCTATTTCAAGGATAGCTGGGACCCTATTAGTGAATTAAATAGACTCCTATCACCAAAGGAATAGAAAACATGAAGATTCTATGTAGCTCATTTCTCTGCCTTCAGGAAAAATCTCCATAAATTGACTTAGGTGATATGAATATTGTCCATTTTGAGCATTCTTAAAAGAACAAACTTTGGACAGGAAGGCAGTCTGGCTATGACATTTATTATTCTGTTGATCTGGCCAGGTAAGAGAATGTCTTAATTTCCTCACCATTTCCTTAGTGACCCTAGGTTAGAACTTCCCCTGCCTGCTTGTTTCTATTGCTGCTGTCGAGGCATCAACCATCAACTTAATTGTCATTCATTTATAGGTAATCTGTCTTTTCTTACTGGGTGATTTTAGAATTTTTGTTTTTGCCTTTGATAATCTGCAGTTTTATCTCATGCCTAGCAATAAGGTTCTTTTTATTTATCCTGCTTGCAAAACCCTGTGATTGCTAAACTGGACAATTCATGCTTTCACCAGTTCTAGAACATCTTCACCCATTAACTCATTGTGCATTGTCTTTCCCCCATTCCCTCTCTTATCTCTGAAATTCGAGTTAGGTGCATGTTGGACCATTTCACTTTGACTTATGTATCTCTTAATTGTTTTGTTTTCTCCATTTCTTTGTCTCTCTCTGCTAAATTCTGAGTAATATCTTCAAATCTGATTTCTATTCTCTAATTCTCTTTCCACTGGTGTTTAATCTGTTTTACCCATCTACAGAGGGATAAATACCTATTATTATAATTTTCTAGTTTTCTAAGTTATTTTTGTTTCTTTTTCTAATTTACCTGCTTATTTTTTTGTAGTCTCTTGTTCTTAACTCAAACTTTCTATTTCCTATTTTCTTTTTTTTTAATGTTTATTTATTTTTGACAGGGAGAGAGAGAGAGAGAGAGCAGAGCATGAGCAGGGGAGGGGCAGAGAGAGACGGAGACACAGAATCTGAAGCAGACTCCAGGTTCTGAGCTGCCAGCACAGAGCCCGACACAGGCCTCGAACTCACAAACCGCGAGATCATGACCTGAGTCAAAGTCGGACGCTCAACTGACTGAGCCACCCAGGGACCTCCCTATTTTATTTCTTTGACATAGTAAACGTACTTGTTTTATATTCTGTGGCCATTAACTGATATCCAAAGTTTCTGTGAGTCTCAATCTGAGGCTGGCTCCAGTGCCTTGTTTTCAGTGTGTATTTTGTGAGTACCGTTTTTATTGTGAGCTCCTATTCAGTGGAATTTTATTTGAGGGGTTTCTTATGACATTTGAGTGAAGGTACATTCCTCTGGAGAGGATTTTCATCTGCTTTTCTAAACATATAATGGCACATTATTCTGGAAATATACTAAAATAAATTCCTGACTTGGAGGTCTTTAGACCACAAAAATAGTCTCAATTTAGGCCACAAACACATGTGAGGTCTGGCTCATAGTTAAATCTCCAGAAAGATGTTTTTTTGGTTTTTTTGTTTTTTTCCTTTTCTCTACTCAGGGCCAAAGCCAAGACAAACAAGTTTTCTTATTGGGACCCTTTGCAAAGCTTGCTTTTTTTTTTTTTTTTTTTTTTTTCCCTAGTTCATCTTTTCTCCAAGTGTGTGACTTCAGGGCTCTCAGCTTTATGCACTGATGTCCTTTCAAGCACCCCATCTTGACTTTTGGTCTCTGAGGATTTCCTGTACTTTATTCCAGCTCAGTCATGCATTTTAAAAGATTAAAAAGAAAATTTACCCAGAATTTTTAGATATTTGGTAACAAGAAGGATCTTGTTACCACCACATTTTTTTAGTCAAAAATATATAACTATCTTTGCAGTCCTACTAGAGATGTCCTTGTAAAACTAGAAATTCAATTCCCTATTTGCCTCCACTACTAGCTCTTAATAATTCATGCTAGAAACATTTTCAACACAAATACATCCTAAACCCCTCATGTCTAATATTTTTGTCATTCAGTCAGCCCCAGCTTTTACTTCTCTACTGTCTATAAGGCCTTTTCTGCATAGGTTGTATCACAGCTGGTTTTTTTTAAATTAAATTAAATTATTTTGAGAGAGACAGAAAGAGAACCAGCAGGGTGGGGCAGAGAGAGAGGGGGACAGAAGATCTGGAGCAGGCTCTGCACTGACAGCAGAGAGCCCTATGAGGGGCTCGAACTCACAAGCAATGAGATCATGACCTGAGCTGAAGTCAAATGCTCAACCAACTGAGCCACCCAGGCACTCCAATCATGCTGTTTTTAAGTGTTTATGGCTCCCCCAGTTTCTTCTTTTTTTTTCTTTTAATTTTTTTAAGTTTATTTGTTTATTTTGAGAGACACAGAGACAGCACAAGTGGGGAAGGGGCAGAGAGGGAGAGAGAAAATCCTAAGCATGCTCAGAGCCTGATGCAGGCCTTGAACTCACAAAACTGTGAGATCATGACCTGAGCCAAAACCGAGAGTCTAATTGACTGAGCCACACAGACGCCCCCTATGGCTTCCCCAGTTTCTGAGCTTTCTATGTTTTCTGATCTTATTTGCTCCAGAAAAGAGGGCTCAAAGCTTTGCCCTTCTTCAACTTCAACAGTAAATGGGGGGAGTGCAGGGGGAGAGGGAAAGATTAACTCCTATGACTGTTCTCAGTGTATTTCCCAGTCTTATCTTGCCTTTTAAACTTTAACTTAGCCCTACAATTCTGACTCAGCCAGCAGTCATTCTGTGAACATTAGATCTTTTCTGCCTAATTTCCCGATCTCTTTTTTTTTTAATTTTTTTGATGCAGTCTGTTTCTCCTTCTTCAATGTATTTACTAACCTAAACTTTTCCCTGAAGCTTTTCACTTGATTCATAGTTTCTATCAACTATGAAACCACCACTGCCATCAGGCCCCTGGAGGTTGAGTCACTACAATCCCACCCACACCCTGGTGCTGGTCCCCCTTGGGGAGACATGTCAGGGGACAGCTGGAGGCGCCCCCACCCCCAGTCTGGGCTTCTGTGTTTGACACTCCCCCACACTGAGGAACCTGCTGTTTCCACCTACACTGGGATCATATTTGCTTTGTAGAGCATGCACTTGGGACCTCTCCATAGTCAGTCCTAACCGTGAGATGGGTATTGTTTACTGTGATTCATCCCAGCAACTCTGATACCAGGATGAGGCACAGGCTGTTGATAAAGGTGATGTTCCTTCCAGTCAGGAATGAATGCTTGTTTATCTGGACTTTCCTTGTGATATATATCTGTCACTGCATGGAGACATACAAGAGCATTTACAATTCACTTCTTAAAACCTTGGATGTTAAATGACAAATTTCTTAAATATTTACATGTAACATCACTGCTGCTGGTGCTGCTCTTGTCACTATGATAATAATTACCAAGTAGCTTTTATTTACTGAGTGTGAACCGTGTGCTAGGATTTATGCTAATAAATCATTAATTCTTACAACTGTCCTGCAAGGCATGACCATTATCATCCTCATTTTACAGATGAGGACATGATGATTCAGAGATGTTAAGTGACTTGCCCAAGGTCACACAGCCAGTAAGTGGCCATGTTGGG